CAAAAGGATGGGCAAACCGACCAAATATCTCAATTGGTCAATAACGTACGGGAAAGAGGGAATCCACCTCTCACAGCCGGAACACATAGACAGTGTCGTTGAGCTCATGTCACAACAGGACTGCAATCCAAAGCGAACACCGTACCTTGACGGAATAAGAATGGACCCGCCCACCGACAGCGAGCCCATCCGCGCAGAGATTGCAGAGATATAAGGCAAAGCCATAGGGGAAATCCGCTATATAGCAGATACCACAAGGCCAGATATAGCCTTTGCAGCCACAGCACTAGCTCGAGCCCTCAAAAACCCACGCAGAGACATTGGAACCTATCGCAAAGACTCGTGCAATACCTCAAAAACCACGAGGAAAGAAGGAATACTGATGCCTGCAAGCAACAAGAGAACAGTACAAGTCAGCGCGTATTCCGACGCCGACTACGCGAATGACGAGACCACACGGAAATCGATCACGGGAATAATAACGATTATCAATGGAGCTCCCGTGCACTGGCTAGCAAAACAGCAACCGGTCGTTGTCAAAAGCACATGTGAAGCCGAATACATCGCCGCAGCCGAGAGCACGACGATAACTCTCTGGCTCCACCAATTGCTGCAAGAAGCACAACTCACCACCCCCTGCCCCACACTGCACGTCGACAATGCAGCAGCCGTGAAAATGGCAAAAAATATGGGAGCAACACGATGAAGAAAATGTATCGACATCAGGTACCACTACTTGCACGACAGAGTTCAAAAAGGGGAACTAAAAATCCTACGAATACCCACCACCGAACAATATGCAGACATACTCACAAAACCCCTCAAAGCAACACTGTACACCAAGCAAAAGGAAAACGTACAGATCCGCGCACAACCAACAAGAGCACACCAGCCCTCGCGTCGGGGGGAGTGTGGTTCCATCCAGAACCCACAACAGACGCTCGGCTAGCATGCAACAAAACCAAACAACACTTGGTTCCATCCAGAGACAAACAAGTAAGGCACACGTAGAATAAGGCACAGCATTACAGCACCTCACGGGCTTGTACAGTACCTATTATTTAGATGGCGCACAGCCGCCGAGGAAAAGCCAATCACCGCTCAGAATTTTTCCCGCAAGTGCACGCACACGACAGGGCCACTTGGCATCCTGGCGCCAACTGGGGGCTATCGAGCGCGCAGTGTCGTCTTGGCAAGAGGACACTACGCAAGAGGCTCTTGGGGCTTGTACAGTACGTATTATAGAGGACACGTAGGGGTTGTCGCCTCGATTCGAGTGCAGACACGCGCCGAGTGCAGATATGAGCACCGAGGCTTGCCGAGGGCCTCATATCGCACGACGCACAGCGTGTCTGCACGATGGGATCGAGGCGACAATATGCTTGTCTATCGGCTGACAGTGATCTAGTTTAATTTATCATAAAATGACTTGCCACGTATGGGCATGACACACCTACATGGGCATCGCCGCCGCCGTCGATTTCATTCTTTCTCCCTCCGTCAACGCCCCTCCCCCTCGCACACCCCTCCCTCTCGCACACCCCTTCGCACAACACTCCCCCTCGCACACTCCTCCCCGTCGCACACCCCTTCGCACACCACATCTATCCCTCACCCCTCACTCCTCAATCAACGCCGCACAACCCCGCAGCATGACTTCCTCTCCTCATTCTGTTCCCGGGACCCCACCTCCAGTGTCGACTGCCCTAGATCCTATCATCCCCAAAACACCCCAATCTACATCTCGTCGACATTCGAAGGCAGCGGAGAGCTTCCTCGGAAAGCGAGTTCCTGCTAACACGGCACGAGCCAACATTTCCTCTCTTCGGGCGCTCGCTCGATTTGTCTCTTCCACCCCGGGCATCGTTGAAGCTGCATTTAAGGGCAAAGAGCACCTCCGCGACCACATTCTTACTGGTGAGGCTCGCTTAGACTGGGAACTTTTTGAGACACGAAAAGCTGTTTTTTCCGATGGGGATTACGGGCATCTACCAGCTGGTCACACCGCTTGGACCGTTCAGCAGCTGCAAACAGTACCATTCTATTTGATTGAATTTTCGGTCAACTATCGGTCTACATCTGGCGACGAGATTAAGCCCGTCACTATGAGGGGATATATTTTGGGGCTGCAAAGAGCATTTAAATCAGAGTGGGGTTATGATCTCAAGGTGCTGGAAGGAAAGATTTTTAACAGTCCAACAGATGGACTGATGGCTGTTTTGGACAACAAATTCAGCTACCAGCAATCTAAAGGAGTTGTGGCAGAGAGCCACAATGTGCTATCAAAGGAGGACGTCCTAAAGCTGTACGAGTCGCCTCTGCTCGAACGCTCAACTCCGCTGGGGTTTCAAGCGCGTCTAGTATTTGGAATCGCATTAATTACAGCAATGCGTCCTTGTGCGTTGGTGCACTTAACAACTGGCCAGGTGCAGAAGATAACCTGTGGGGCCGAAGAGGTATGGAAAATTTGCGGAGTGATTGGAAGCCGCGTTGGTGCCTCGAAAACAGCGATGGGGGGTTGGAAGGCTGTAAAGGACAAGCCTCAGGAGGTTTGTGTATGGAACCGGAACTGTTTAGATGGAAAGCTATATTTGTTCGAGGATATCGAAGACTACATGCGCGTTCGCAGTGCGATGGATTGCGGCAGCGACAGGTTTTTTATGGGAGTCAATGCACGTGCAACAACGTTTGAAAAGTTTTTCAAACGCCAGCATCTCGGTCGTAATGCGTTCTCGCGCATCGTGGGGAGAGTATGTGAGCATGAGGGAATCACAGGAAGTGGAGTGAAGCGAGGAATGACCCTCCATGGGTTGAGGGGTTCTGTTGTGACTTTACTGTTTGAGGATGGTCAAAACGATGTGAATGTGTCGATGCGGACTGGCCACCGTGATCTAGCATCCCTGAAAAATTACCATAATCTAAGGGGCGTTCTAGGTATGCAGCAACAAGCTGCAATTTTTGGGGACTCGGAGCCGAAAAAGGAAAACGTGGAGGCTGTGTGTGGAAGGCACGACGCCCCGGATGGAAAGGAAAATAGTTTAAGGGACGATCAGGGACGAGAAACGTTGAAGGACTCAGGTTCAAAGCGACAGAAGGTAGGGGCTGTATGCGGAGGGAACGGTGGGCTTGATGGAAAGCAGAACATAGCAAGTGACAGTCAGGGACAAGCGGTGTCGCAAGAGAATAGTACTACAGAGGGTAGTAACTTGCGCCTGCTGTCGGGCGTGAAGAATATTAGCGGTGGTGTCTTCACAATTCATGTGAATAACCACTACCGGTAGTATTGAGCATGCCTTTAGATCGGAGGATTGGGAAGGGAGAGCGAAAAGGGAGAGCGCGAAGGTGAAGGGTAAAGTTGAGTACTGCAAGGAGAATGGTTGAGTAAATTTTGTCGCCCGGATATGTCTGCACTACAGTGCGATACTTTTTAACAGTGCAGACATCCAGTATGTCTGCACTCCAAACCTGTTAATGTCACCGTTGTCACGGCGCGTATGTCCCCGTCAGCCCGTAGACAATACGCAATTGGGGCTTGTACAGTACGTATTATAGAGGACACTACGCAAGAGGCTCTTGCCACCTACTAGTGTCTAGGTGACAAATGGCCTCATATGAGGTCACTTTTCAACTTAATTTTTCTCGACTTGTGCAACCTGAACAAAATGGAAAAAGATACTCTCGCCACCGCAGTTGACTTCTGCGCTGCGGAAGGGTGGAGCTTGGTGAGATCTGCACGTCCTTTCCAGGCTTTTTGAGAATACCTAAAGAAAAAGCTTTTTTAAAGAACATCAAAACGTTTTTTGTTGATATCTTCGAAACCAAAACGCCTGTTTAAAATATCATCCGATAGTTTAAACTATATTAGATTCTTAGTATTTCTGTGTATTCATAACTGCTATCCCGATGTTTTGCAGGAAGCTATTACCGAGGGAATATTGGTTAAAGAAATGGTGTCTAAACTGATTTTATAAAATTTCGATTTAATGTATACATTTTTGCAAAAAAAAACGTGGCCTCATATGAGGCCAAGCCTGACCTCATATGAGGTAAGTTGCCGGTCGTCTAGACACTAGTGACGACGGAAGCAGAGCTACAGCATTTGTTAGGCAGGGGGTGTAGACGGCAAGTGCCAGACGCGCGCGCGCACTCACAACTGCAATATAAACACCGGCGGTCGGATTTGATCTCTCAAGTATTCGTTTTGGGAGTGCTCTGGCAAGAGGACACTAAGCGCTCGTTAGCCCCCAGTTGGGGGCCAGGATGCCAAGTGGCCCTGTCGTGTGCGTGCACTTGCGGGAAAAATTCTGAGCGGTGATTGGCTTTACGCCGGAGGCTGTCGGCGGCTGTGCGCCATCAAAATAATAGGTACTGTACAAGCACGTCCCCCGTCCCCCGCTCCCCAGAGGATCGGGGGTATCAGTGTTCCTAGTGTCTAGGTGACAAATGACCTCATATGAGGTCACTTTTCAACTTATTTTTCTCGACTTGTGCTAGCTCAACAAGATGGAAAAAAGATACTCTCGACACGGCAGTTGACTTCTGCGTTGTGGAAGGGTGGAGTTTGGTGAGATCTGCACGTCTTCTCCAGCCATTTTTAAAATGCCCAAAAAGGAGCCTTTTTTGACCAACCTCAAAACGTTTTATGTTGATATCTTCGAAACCAAAACGCCTGTTTAAAAAGTCAACTCATCATTGATAGTTCATTAGATTCTTAGTCTCTCTGTGCATTGACAACCGCCATCCCAATGTTTTGCAAGATGTTATTGCCGAGCGCGTATACGTTAAAGAAATGGTGTCCAAACTGAATGTTTTAAAGTTTCGATTTAATTTATATATTTTTGCAAAAAAAAAGCTGGCCTCATATGAGGCCATGACTGACCTCATATGAGGTCAAATTGATTGTCGTCTAGACACTAGGTCCACAAAGCTTTCAAACAGATTGAGCAGAGAGATGGTACCGCCCTGAGCACAGCAAGCAGCACTCCATAATCAAGGGCGGGATGGAAGGGAATACCACCTTCCAGAGGAAACTTAGCAAACTGAGGACGCTGAGAAAAGCGGCCAGGATAGATGATGTGTCCCGTTGGAAGCCCAGCGTTGGCAAGCTGCAGCCAGTACAAGACAGGAGACTGCATAAGGCACATCAATATGGCCTCCAAGTGAAGGACGCGGGGGATTCGGTCGAAAAAGTAGGCGTACTGCGCACCGCCTCGTCTAAAGAGATGATAGCAAACTTGAGCATGTATTTCGGATGGTTGGGCAACTCGTACAAAGGGCTCCTTAACAGGGCGGACGAGGCAGTGTACACCCTTGAAGAATTATACCACTCCGTGAACGCAGTGCGGAGGGTAGCTGGTATGGAAAGCTTGAAGGAGAGTGAGTACCTAGTCATACTTAATACGGTGTCCAGAGTGTGTGAGAAGTTGACAGAGGATATGGGGATACGTGATTACGTTTATGTCCCCTGTAACGATACGTCGATTCCGTGGATGCAGATTAGCGATAGAGTCTACCTTCTAGACTCAGGAACCATCACACCCGACAAGCATAGGGGGCCAACCATCCGTGGGGCCATTCGAGACGGCACCCCGGCGGAACGTACGTACATATTTAACGATGGTGAACTTCAAGGGAATGCGAGTGTACCAATTGACGTCTCCGACTATATATTTGATAACATGTTGCTAGGCAGGCAGTTTTGTAGTGCGCATGTGGAAGTCAATGATGATGGTGAATACGAAGCCGTGTTCATCTTAGTGACAGACATCGAAGCAGCTGAGGCGTATGATCATAGCACTACCCGAATGGACAATGGGTATGATTCACCTATGGGGGGACTGAGCAGACGTATACTCCGGCCAGTATCTAAGTATGAGACTATACTGTCGGGGTTCTTCTCCTCATTCTTCGTGGGGGTGAGTGAAGAAGGGCTTAAATCCGTCCATCAATTCGTGCGTAAGTGCCTTGAAGACGGGGCATCCAGGCCTGAGGAAGACTTAGGGCTCAGCGTTACGGATCTGAACAACTTATTGGGACACCAGATCAATATTAACAGTTCCATGTACGCGCCGACTGCAGCATTAATGAGGAGGAAGATTATGAGGAGAGAACAAAGGGCAGGGACTGACGTAGCGAAGTTGCCTGGCATCGAGGTGCAAGGACCGAACGTTATTATAGCCGCAGCAGGGAGTGAGGTCTACCTCAGGTGTCCCCGTGAGAGAGACACATGGCTCGCGTGGTTGATCATGACCTTGTATGCAGTCGCGACCGTTGCTAGTACGTTCCGTGACGATAAGACCTCTGAAGGGCTGAAAGTGATACCAGCCGCGGTAGCGTTCGTTGTTGTTGTTGTTTCGTACTATCACACGGCCGTTCATAAGAGGGATCTCCGGGATTTTTTCTTGGGAGGTCGGAAATTCAAATCACTAAGCGAGGCACTTGAACACGTACCGGAAGAGGTGATAATGCCGGAGCTCCTGGCACATAGACATCCGGAACACTTGGTTGACGGAGTCGACTGCTGTTACCTGACCAATGAAAAGAGGGAAGGGATGGCGATTGATCGCGAGTACAGGATATCAAAGCTAGAATCGTTCGGCGCGCAGATGGGGGTAGCAGATACTGGAGAGCTCGTTTTTCGGAGTAACAGGAGCAGGCCGTGGAGGCTGGTAACTGGAGATGAGCAACAGGTGCACGTAACTGATGTTGAAGTTGAACGGTGTGCTCCTGCGAGGTGGCGCATTGACCCAGTAGTCAAAGGCGAGACGAGCCGAAGTTCTGCCGGGGGCGAGGCGAGCAGAGAATCTCGGATGGAGGAGCTGGATGGAACCACACTGTGAACAGCCTCAGTGCAGTGAACTATTGGGCTTCCAACTATTGGGTGCCACATTTTGGTTCACTCTATCGAGACTTTACTCTGTAGTTACAAAATTTGTTGCCATTTGTGGGTTTACGCATAACGAATTTCTGGAATCAAAAATGCGGAAAAGAAATACAACAATGCAGAACTTTATTTCAGAAACTTTGGTTTCAGAATTTTGATACACGTTTACGCAGGCACCCACGGGGATCAAAAATGAGTATTAGAACCCACGGGTTCTCCCTGGTTGAAGATATTCGTAGTTTATTGGTTCTAGTCGGTCACGAGACATCGGTTAAGAGGGGACACACAAAGGCTACGCAAACCATTAAACCGAACTGGAAAACATAAAGAAAACATAAAGAGAGAAAAAGACATGATGAGAAAGGAAACTACCAAGAGGGCGGCGCAGCCGGGGCTGGGCGGGCAAGAGAAATAGACATGGCCAGGAGAGGGGGGCTGGCAAGAGGCTCACGATGGCGCCATAAGTACCACGGAGCAGCGAGACTGCGAGGTGAGGTACGCTCGGTTGGCTGATAGTAATTACAGCCACTCGCTATTCTCCGGGGAGTTTCACCCCTATACACGCTAGCGTGTACAGAGACGCGAAGGGGGCAAATAAAAGCGGTAGCAGATGCACGGAGAGCGCTAGACATGCGGTAGCATGTGCGCAAAGAGCCACTCCGAAGCGGCGGTGACAATAATACGGCTATCGAAGTAAACAGAAAACTGGTTCTGCGATGCCCAATCCAGACGGGTCATAATCCATTCGCGGCTGAACTGGAGGACGAGCAGCTCGTTGAAGCCACCGATACGAGCGCTGTGCGATGTGAAGTAGCAGCCAGGCGGCGGAGCGCCGTTGACGAGGGCAACGGCAGTCTCAACTGCAATGCCGAGATCGGCAGTGCCGACCTTTTGTCCACGTCTGAGATTGAAGAAACCAATATTGGCGGGACGCAAGGAGCGCCATTTCGAAAGCAATGCGTTTGGCGAAGCAGTAGAGGTCCAGACGGGGTTGGTTGGAAGTGAAAGGCGTAATGGTCGGGACCGAGATTTGCCTTTCCGGTAAGTGATCACCGCACTCACTCTCTCCGCCGTTATGGTGATGTCGCTGTCTTTCAGATAGGCGACAGACACCGACCGGCACTGAAAGACAAATGCAAACACCACTGTAGCACAATAGCCCACCGTGTCTACGTCCTCGGCAGACAGCCCACATTCCACAATCTGCCTCATGAGGGCTGCCGGGAGCCCAACCCGGGCCATATGAACGACGCCTTGAAGATCATCCTTGTTCTCATATGCGCGGACAAGAGCCGATACCATGGGAGTATGAGTTGGGGAATCGAAGTTGAGGAGCTCGTGGTATCGAGATACGGCCGTAACGTACTGCGCCACTGACGTCGGACCGACCCTGCCTTCGAGATGCAAGTAGCCGATATATGCTAGAACATCCCCCTCCTTCGCCCCAAGCCGCGGTCGTCCATCTTCGTAGCAGAAGGTAAACCATTTCTTGATCTGGCTGGAGCGATTGGCCCAAGTCCCGTCACTCCATCCGTAGTTGGCAAGCAAGTCTGCTGCGGCCTGGGCGCTTCCCGTTGCACCATCATCCCCACACCGGCTCAATACTGCATCCCGTATCCCCTCCTGCCACACCACCCTCACGCCATTGTTGCGAGAACGACGGACCAGTCGGCGTTGAGATTTTTCGAACTCCGCAGTAGAGAAAAGTCGGCGCCTTGTGGATGGAGGACCTTGACCGTAGTGGCGTGACGCACCAACTGCGGATGCCAGGCTTGCGCTGGCCAGTGGGGAGCCACCAGGACGCCCTTCCCACCATCCGCTATGACCTTGCGAATGACCAGAGGGAGCATGTCGAAGGGGGGATTCCACAGGCGCGCCCTCCCGTCTCCCCAGTCCTCCAGCATCTGCGTCGCCAGGTATTTCCGTCGCGCGACTGCCGTCTCTCCGAGGGGGCGATGAGCGAACACCACCGAGTCCACCTGGTACTCGTCCTGGATCGACTGCAGCAGCTGGTCCGTCGCCTGCACGTCGCCAGGATCCCAGGTCCGGGAGAGAGCGTCGGCGATCCGGTTGACCGCGGACGGCAACCACCGGGCTTCGATCCGCACCCCCAGGGTTTGCAGCATAACCTGAAGCCGGCGTAGCTCCGCCATCATTGGCTTGGAAGCGGACACCATGGCGTTCAAAATGAAGCAGACTGCCTGGTTGTCCTCGTGCAGCAAGAGGCGCTGAACGTCCGGTCGGCCGACGTACGCGGCAAAGTGCCTCTGTAATAGCAGACGAACCGCCCGAAGTTCCCTCAAAGTGATCGAGTGCGCGCGATCGGCTGCCGTCCAAAAGCCTTGACCCTTCCACAAACCCCGCGAGCCCGCCAGCACTTGCGATCCCAGTGTCCCTCCGTACCCCACGTCGGCAGCATCGGAGTGCAACGTGAGGTCGGGCGCCAGCCTGACCAATTCCCGTCCTTCTCCCCGTGTCAGCGAACGCCAGTGGCGCAAGTCGCGACGCGATTGTCGGCAAAGACGCACCTTTTGAAACTGGTCGTGGAGCCTTGTTGCGTCCCCGTGTCCACGGGGCACACGGTGCACACGGGCCACACGGTGCACACGGGCCACACGGTGCATATGCGCCGTGGCTGCCTTTGCCCTCGCTCCTCGCGCTCCACCAGGAGCCCGGACAGTGCCATGTCGAAGTAGAGGCTCCTTGTGTAGAACCGCGAGAGCGGAATGGCCAGTGTCATCGACACAGCCACTCCGCAAAAATGCCGCAGCTTTTTCAACGATACCCACCGGCGGTTCCTTTGCGCGGACAAGAGGAGCTGCTTGGCTAGCAGGCGAAGGCGGGCTACCTTGCTGTCGGACGCGAACACCCTCATCGCGACAGTATCCACCACACAACCCAAATGCTCCAGCGTAGTCGTCCCTTCCCAGCATCCCTTCCCCGGGTGTCTGACGAGCCCCAACCTTGCGAACAGCCTTGACAGTCTCCTCCCGGCGCGCGCGCAGTCCTGTCTTGTCGATATCCTCCCCAGCGGCGACGGCGCACACGCGAAGTCGTCAATGTACGGCAGGATGCGGTACCCGAGGCGCTCCCGCAAGTGCTTCACCAAAGGACGGAGCAGCTTGGTGAACCACAGAACAGAGCGCCCCAGCCGAACGGTAGCGCGATGCAACGGTAGTACCGACCGTTGTATCGGAAGAGGAAAAAGTCTCTCATGCGTGGATGGAGGTAAAAGTGGCGGTACCCACTTTTGATGTCCCAAGACATCAGCACATCTCCCTCCTGCAGTTGACACGCGAAGGACTGTAAGGTCTCCATCTTGACTGACCCCTTCGGCCAGTGCTTGCTCTGCCGCTTGAAATTAATTACAAATCTTCCTTTGCGGTCCTCGCCCTCGCCTTGCCAGACCGTGAAGGCTGACGAGATCATCCTGCCCCCTCTCGCAAGGGCCTCGGCCTCCTCAAACCCTACCTCCTCGTACACCCCCTCTCTGCAACCCCTTGCCAGGTCCTCCGTGGCAAACTGCCTGTCCTCCGCCGTCTGAGGGAGCTTGCTGAGTACAGTACCGTCCTCGAAGGGCACCGTCGGCATGTCCAATACACCGTACCGGATCTGACGGGCGATGTACTCGTTGACTCCTAACTCCGAACGCCAAACGTCCGCCCTAAGAGCCGTCCCCCGCCGCAAAGGTGCTCCCCCCTTACCCTTTGTAGCGTTTCCATCTCTTTTTAGGCACATTACTCCGGGCTGGACCCGTCCCCGGCGGAGGGTCCAGCGTTCTTCATGCCAGTAGTCTTCTCTAACCTGGCCTTGGCAATCATCTTTGCAGCCTGAATCTCCGACTTAGAAGTGAGCGCCTCGCGGGCAGACTTGTACGAATCTGAGAACACAGCGTCGTGCCCCTGTTCCACGAGGAATGCCATCTGGCGAGCTGCCTCGACTCCTTGGTCGGTGATGTCCCTGAAATACTGCGCGCGCATAGACAGTACCTCGAGGGCGGCACGGATAAACTTTTCAGCCAAGGCCAGTTTCCTTGCCATGCTTGGAACGTCCTCGCTCTGATTCTTAGCAACTATGAGAGCAGAGAGTCCCATTTCGGTCCAAACGCCAGCAGCGTTTACGTATTCCCATTCCTTGGCCGAGCGTCGGTCCCTGGACCGCAACTCGGAGACGAAAGCGTCAGCAGCAGGCTTGAAGTAACCCATGTGAGTGACGGGTACATGGGGGCCACGCTCAAACACGCTTCCTTCTCCAACCAACTTGAGGGAGCTGAGCTCCGCGACAACATCCCCATAATCCCGACGCGCGGGCACGGCACTCTCCCACGCCGCTCGCACAGCTAGCGCAGGGCGCGCCACAGCTGCGACAGCCGAAAGCGTGGGGGCCGGGGGCACCGGCGCGTCGATGTCGGCGGGTTGTTCGGGTTGTACGCTCATAGCTCCAAAGTACTCTGTTTGTACTTACTAGAATATGTCACCGCCTAGGCTGAGGGGAATTTCTCAAGCAAGAGAAATAGACATGGCCAGGAGAGGGGGGCTGGCAAGAGGCTCACGATGGCGCCATAAGTACCACGGAGCAGCGAGACTGCGAGGTGAGGTACGCTCGGTTGGCTGATAGTAATTACAGCCACTCGCTATTCTCCGGGGAGTTTCACCCCTATACACGCTAGCGTGTACAGAGACGCGTAAATAAAGTTTTTTATCATACGCGATATGCACCGTGATTTTAATACAATTCTCAATAAACTCAATTACAGTAGGGGCAAAAGAAGCCATTGAATTTCTTGAAAAACTCAAAGTATTGCAACCTATCACAGCACTCCGCCTGTCCAGTCCAAATATCCGTCAACAAGTAAACATTTAGTTGCCAACAAGTAAACATTTACTTTCCACGGGGTAAACATTGACCCCCGATCAACAAGTAAACATTTACTTGCCACTGGGTAAACATTGACCA